GCGAAGGTCTCGGGTTCGATTCCCGGTGTGTGCACTTCGGGCATCCCAGTGCGGGGGGGTGTCAGAGGTCCACTGGAGATCCCCGATGATCCTAGGGAAGGGTTACAGGCACGTCGGCCTGGGGGGTTATGGGCGCACTCACCCGCTATATAAACAAGCCCTTTTATCCCAGTGGTTAGTGACTGGGATTCTGACAGAAGGCCCTCGGGAGATGGGTATCTCCTCCCTCTTGGTGGGGCTGCAGAGACGTATTAAAGACTCTGTGATTCCTCACCTTACGCTGCCGTCAGAAGAACTGTCTGCCGACCTATCGGTCATGGCTGACCTCTGTACGGACTACTTCTCTAACCTCTACAGTGGCGAGACGACCATCTCACGGAACAGGTCCTTTTGGGACCATGTCTTCCCTTCTTCCCTTCCTGCTGACTGTCTGTCCCGCCTGGATAAGCCCTTGTCCGCCTCGGAAATCGAGAACGCTCTTTCACGACTGGCCAAGGGTAAAACTCCTGGGTTGGACGGACTGCCTGGTGAGGTGTTCCGCTCTCACAGGAAACTGTTCGCCCCGATTTTTCATAAGCTCTGTACGGGCATTCTTTCCTCCGGGCAGGTTCCTGCTTCCATGCTTTCAGGACGGACTGTTCTGATCCCCAAGAAGGGCAAATCGGACCAAGTGGACAATCTGAGGCCCATTACGTTAATGAATGCAGATTACAAAGTCATCACTCTCGTCCTTGCATCCCGGCTCCAAGCTGTACTCCCGCGTCTCATCAGCCCTGCTCAGTCGGCCTTTATCAAAGGAAGAAGAATCGGTGACACCATTAATGATACTCTCGACCTCATGGATTGGGCAACTTCCCAACAAAACCCCCTCCTGGTTCTCACTGTGGACATCCGGAAAGCTTACGATTTGGTGGACCGGGAATTTTTGTACTCATGCCTCCTTCATATCGGTCTCCCCCCCAATTTCGTTACCTGGGTTAGGCTGCTGCATACAGGTACCACCACACGTGTCTCGGTTAATAATCTTGATGGCCCAGTTTTTCCCGTACGAACAGGGGTCAGACAGGGCTGCCCGTTAGCCCCACTCCTTTTCGTTTGTGTTATTGAAGTCATGCAACGGTTTTTGAGTGTTTCCTTGCCTGGCTACGTGTTCTGTAAAGCCCAAAGGAGGCTTATGGCCTGCTATGCAGACGATGTGTCGATTTTTCTCAATTCGGATCAGGAGTTGGCTGATGCCACCACCGCTCTTCAATCCTTCGCTGCTGTTTCCGGTGAGCACCCGAACTGGAACAAGTGTTCGATCCTGCCCATCCACATCCCCGTGTCCTCCATACAACATGCCGGACACATTCCTGTCCGCGTACCAGAGGAGGCAGAAAGAATCCTCGGGATCTATGTCGAGCAGGGTCAGCCAGGAAAAACCACTTGGGAAAACATTCTCAGTCGCATTCACTCAACCGCCTCCCTCCTATCTCGCCTTAAAGCCACCTCCACATGCAGGTCCCTTCTCTCCTCTGAAAGACTCACCTCCACCTACTCGTTTGGCGGACGGTTTCAATCTCCTCCTGAGGGAGTTCCCGACCAGCTCGACCGAGTAGTCGGAAACTTCTTGTCTTCTTCTAAGTACAAGGAACATGGTCTGGCAGTCCGTGTCATTCCCAAGCGCTTTCTGTACAACAAAAGGAAGCACGGGGGTATCGGTGCCATTCAACCTTCCTCTCATCTTAAAGCTCTGGCGGTTCAGCGGGCTGCTCGTAGATTCCAGGCTTCTCCGTATGAGGATATTGCCAGATTATGCGTTCCCCTTCCCTATGGCCTTCATTGTTTCCTGGCTCATCCCTCCATTATCAAGTTCCTCCCCCCACAGATTCCGTCGCGGGCTCGGGCGGAACTTGCTGCAGTGTTAGACCTCCCGGCAACCATCTCTCCACCACCGTTAGACCCATGGGTGCTCATGGCTGAACCCTTGGCCTTTAACAGACTCATCTGCAAAGGCTCGGGACTTCCTTTCGGCCGGCTCAAAAACGAGAAGTTCTTACTTACCCACCAACTCCGGTTAGGACACTTACTCGTGCAGCTTCCAGCAGGCACTCGGAGGATGACCAAAGCAGAAATCAAGATCAAATTCCCTCCCTCCTCCTTCCCTGGAAGCCGCAGCCTCGCAATGAAAATCTTCAAAGCCGTCCCGGAATCTTGGTGGCCTCCATTAGAATCATTTACACCCCGGCACGACTACCTTTCAGTTAACGACTGGGTCCTGGAGCACGATGGTATCCAGTGGCCAAGCCGTGCCCTCAAGGTTACCCTCGTCTTACCGGAGCAGAAAGCTAGGTTCGATATCTTCAAGGTAGAAGGAGGGCGGCAGGTGCAACAGGTCTCGTGCGGCAGCTGCATCAAGGCTTTTCATGAAGTCATCCCCATTCAGGTAGTTAGAGGGTGGATAGCAGGAACCTTGTCCGATGGAGCTGCTGTAGGTGCTCGTCACGACCTTCTCGGTACCTCTCCCTCTCTAGCGGACATACGGAACCGGTGCTACCAGCCTCTCCCTCTTAATCACGTGGACCGATGGAACAGCTCTCTCCGTTTTCCCATACAGGCTCTTCCCAACCTGTGTCACTCGTTTCTCTCAGACCAACCATCACGGCATCGCGATGTTCTGTTTCGGCTCTACACCAGGACACTCCCTTCTGGCTCTCGCTTCCGGTTCTCGACCGCTAACGGAGCTTGCCCACGGTGCGGCCCTCCTGAGATTGAAGACTTACCGCATATGTTTTTCGATTGCGGCCAAGCCCCCGCAGTTGTTGCTGCTCTCCAGCGTGTCGCTCTACAACATCTTCACGTCAGTGTCGAAAATGCCGCGGTGTTCTTTCCCTTCAGCCACCCTGCTAGTCTCGTCGCCCCATGGTGTCTGCTGGTAGGTGCTGCTGCTGTTACTATTTGGCGAGATCGCTGCGCGTATCACTACGAACAAACGACCTTCAATAAAATCGAAACTCTGCATCGCGTTTTGGCGTTGTTCACCTCCGCCTGCAAAATCTACTTCGCACGTCGTAGCCGTTGGTCAACCAAGTGGAAGAACAAGACGAAGAACCGTGTTAAGGCTGCTACAAGCTACGTTTCTCTACTTCGACTCCCAAGGCGGCCCGCTGCTGCACCCTTCGCTCCAACGAACGTGGCTGCAGAACGACGTTTTTCATCCCCCCTAGAGGCTCTCTGCTTACTGGACACAGTGCCGCACTGAGAATTTTTCTCCGTGTGTTATCTTCGGATCTGCAAGTAACACTGTTTTGGTGTAGGCCTTTTAGACCTTGACTTTCTGTCATGCTTGTTGCGCTGTTCCGTGTATGTGGTCACGACCATTAGTAAAACTTAAAACTTAAAACTTAAAACCTCAATCCTCGTCTCAATCAACTTGAATTTTTGGAGGGAGAAATTTGATTCGATAAATTGCTGCCCGTGGCGTTGTTTCTGGGGAGTCCGGCCGGCCTCAACAAGCCCACACAGTAACACAACACGGTACGGCACAGCAGAGCACAGCAAAGGCCCCCACAAAGCCCATTTTCTTTTGGCGCAGCAGCACAGCAGCAATACAGAGCATCTACACACAGCAAAACACAGCCTCTTCCCACGGTGTCACATACTCCCCTCCACCCATCCCCCCCCTAACGACTTCCTTCCCCTCACTCCCTCCGCCCAACCAAGCAAGCTCACCAAACCAGAGCCCCATCCCCACTTCCTTCCAACGCCCCTCTCACCCCACAAACCCAACTTTCGTTACGTCGCTTTCAGTTCAGTTCAGATTCTAAAGGCCCGGCAGTGTCAGCTGTCAGACAGCGGCGAATACACGTGTAATGTACTGTCCATCCTAGCCCGAGTTGGTTATCACAGCAGACCCTCGGTGGGTGAGCGACTGCCAGTGTACAGGTGCACTGTGCGGTAGTACTGTAGAGGATTGTTCGATCGGGTCTGGTCTGGTGGTCTGGTTCTCCCGTACACCTGATGCTCACCTCCTGCACGCGAAATTGCCTTGCACCGGATGGAAACCTTGCACCCGTGGGTTTTGTGCCGTGACGTTGCACCCACGTTACAAGCACGTCGACCAATACGAACCACAGAAACTGAAGTTTGACTGACGAGACCAAAGTAAAAATGTCAGCGTTGAGTTACAATTGTTTTTTATAAGCCCTTTTTGCCCGATGCGAATTGACGAAATCTTCAAGCGAAGCGAGAATCGCTTATAAGCCCAGAGGGTAAGGCGAGGTCGGGGGGCTCAACCGGGCATCGTGTGTATACTGTACTATAGAGCATCTGCCTACGCAACCAGCAACCACCACCAGCCATGAATGAATAACTGAGCAGGAATGAATGAACTAGAACAGAGTTTGGTACAAGTAGGAAACCCTAACTTTGTGTACCCCCTAAGGTGTAACCCACTACAGCCTAGACAATATAAACATGCAATGTTTGACACACCCCCATAGGCGCAGTGGGAGACAACCACAGGGTCACAAGACCAGTCAAAGCAAAGCAAAGCAAGCTCAGGGTGGATCTCAAGGATTCCACACAAATTCCGAGCACAAGCAAGCGGTCACAAGACCAGTTCACATGCAGGTTTATAACAAAGCAAGAGATACAGTGATCACAACCTAGCAAAAGTAAACAAGTAGGGATATATATATAGTGATCACAGTACAAGCAAGGTCAAGAGGTAAGCAAGTGAGGCCCAGTAGGTACAAGGCCTAACAGAGTGCAAAAGCGCTGATGGTCACGAGGCTGAAGCGCCTTGGTGAACACATCAGCAAGGTTGGCCTCAGTGGCCACGTAGCGAATACAAAGCTGACCGCGCTGCTGCAGCTCTCGAGCAAGGAAGTACCGCAGGGCGATGTGCTTCGTTCTGTGCTCCAGTCTGTGCTCCTCACACAAGGCAATGGCAGCCTTGTTGTCGACGTACAGTACTGGAGGAGAACGAGGCCGCTCTCCGAGGTCGGTCAGCAGGTAGGTCAGCCAGCGTAGCTCCTGGGCAGCCATGGCTGTAGCGTAGATCTCAGCCTCGCAACTGGAGCCGAGAACAGAAGAAGAGCGTGTAGAGCGCCAAGAAACTGAGCCAGAGCCAAGGCTGAAGGTGTAACCCTGAGACGACCGCTGAGTGGCCTGGTCGTCTGCCCAAGAAGCGTCTGAGTGCCCTGTGAGAACAACTCGGTCTCGCCCTCCAAGCACAAGCCCCATGCCCGACGTACTGCACAAGTAGCGCAACACCCTCTTAGCGGCATCCATGTGCTCCTTCCTGTGACGGCCAGGAGCGACATAGCGTGCAAGGATGCTAAGAGGGTATGCAAGGTCAGGTCGAGTGCAGGTCATCAGGTACATGAGGCAGCCCACAAGCTCTGGATACGGGCCACTCGGCTCTACGGACTCATCCGAAGGCAGAGCTGAGAGCGAGTGACCGGTAGGCAGAGGAGTGGACTGAGGCGAGGAGTACGTGAAGCGGAAGCGCTGGAGAACCTGCTGCACCATGTGTGACTGAGTCAGGGTGATGGTGCGCCGTGCTCTGTCCCGGGTGATCCGCAAGCCAAGATAGCTCGTCAGCTCACCCAGGTCTGTGCACGTGTGTCTCCTCTGCAGCTCCGACTTTACGTGGGCGAGTGCCGCGGTGTCAGCAGTGGCAAAGACCAAGTCGTCGACGTACACGAGGATGTAGAACGGCGGCAGCGAGGTGTCGGTGCGTAGAAACAGCGACGGGTCAGCAGTAGAGGGAGCGAACCCAAGAGCCGCAAGTGTCGTCCTCAGTGTGTCGTGCCACTCACGTGGCGCCTGGCGGAGACCGTAGACCGGCCGCTGAAGCCTCCACTGGGTGCCAGGAGGAACTGACCCAGTGAAGCCAGGGGGGCGGCGCAGCCAGATCTCCTCGTGCAGGCTGCCCTGCAAGAAAGCAGTGCTGAAGTCAAGAGAGTGAAGCTCGTAGTCGCGGTGAGCGGCTATGTGCAGCAGCACCCGAAGAGTAGTCATCTTCGGGGTGGGGGAGAAGGTCTGAAAGAAGTCTACTCCCTCTCGCTGACTGAAGCCTCGAGCCACGTAGCGCGCCTTGAAGACAGGCGGAGAACCCGGCGGCCGCTTCACCCTGAAAATCCACATGCCACTGACGATGTTCGCCCCAGGAGGGGGAACCTCGTCTACGTAGGTGCCTGTGGACTTCCAGGAAGCCATCTCTGCGTCCATGGCTGTCTGCCACTGAGAGGAGTAGGGACCCGCCATCGCCTCAGCGTAAGAGCGTGGGGTCGGGATGTCTGGTGCATCCGGGTCTCCCTCAGGGGCAACTAGCAAGGACACGAGACGGGGCAAAGCAGCAGCAAGGCACTGGAACTCCTTCTGTCTGTCCTCAAGGACGTCCGTGCCGAGGGCACACTCACCCCCGACGGACGGAGGACAGGCAGACGCAGACTCAGACTCAGCGACAAGGCTGGCAGCGTAGTCTAGGCGACAGCGAGCAGCAAAGTCAACCAACTCAGCGACCAGAGCAGACGCAGCAGAGGACTCAAAGGTCGGGTCAGTGACAACTGTAGCGAGGAGACGCGTAACAGTGGGACTGGCAGCACGACGGGAGTCAGACTCTGGGTCAGGAAGAGTAGGAAGAGAGGACGCAGGAGGAGACGGCAGCGGGACACGCTGCGGAGCAGTGGAGGGACGCAGGGTCATGTAGTGAGTGCCAGGGACAGGAGGAGGACGCTCACGTAGGACACGACGACCAGTGCGAGCAGTACGAACAGGCGACGCAGGACGAGACTCAGGCTCACGACGCTCTGTAAGACCTCCTGTGGGACCAGCGTAAGGAGAGGGAGCAGGGAGAGGCGAGGCAGGCGGTAACTGTGACTGCGGCTGGACAGGCAGAGGACACTCGACGGAGGGAGGAGGACTAGGAGGAGGAGCCTGACCAAGAACCTGCTGAAGGAGCGGTACGAAGTACGGTCGCGGCCGCGCAGCGTCTCCAGAAGCAGCAGGGACACCAGTGGCAGCCCCAACGCCCGAGTCCTCAGCTCCAGCAGCAGCTCCAACGCCCGGGTCCTCAGCACCAGTAGGAGCTCCAACGCCCGAGTCCTCAGCACCAGCAGCAGCGCCACCGCCCGGGCCCTCAGCACCAGCAGTAGGGCCACCGGTCAGGTCCTCAGCACCAGCAGCAGCGCCACCGCCCGGGTCCTCAGCACCAGCAGCAGCTCCAGCCCCCGGGTCCTCAGCACCAGCAGCAGCTCCAGCGTCCGGGTCCTCAGCACCAGCAACAGCACCACCGCTCGGGTCCGCAGCACCAGGAGCACCACTACGAAGACTGCAGCGCCGCGTGTACCACTCGCGGATCACCTGAATGGGAGGGAGCTCCTGGGTAGGAGGGGAAGTACCGGGACGAGCTCCAGAAGCACCTCTCCGGAGGCGGCAGTACTCGAGGTACCTCTCCTGCAGCTGCTGGGAGGAGAGGGCTCCTCCAGGTGGAGCACGCTCAGGCTCAGCACCCCCAGACTCAGCACCCCCAGTCTCAGCACCCCCAGACTCAGCACGTCCAGACTCAGTACCTCCAGGCTCCGCACCTCCAGGCTCCGCACCTCCAGGCTCCGCACCTCCAGGCTCAGCACCCCCAGGCTCCGCACCTCCAGGCTCAGCACCCCCAGGCTCCGCACCCTCAGACGCAGCACTCCCAGGCTCAGCACCCCCAGACGCAGGACGCGAGTCAACAGCTACCTCGACAGGCTCACCCGGGTCTACCTGGGACACACCTGAGGGAGCGGCACCCTGAGGGGGGAGGGGGTCTGGTACCTCAGCACCTGGAGCGAGGAAGAGAGGCGGGGGGGGGAGCGGGGCAGTGCGGTAGGGGAAGAGGCGGTAGAAGGGGACGGACTCGTCAAAAGTGACGTCCTGAGAGGCCAGAACCCGGCGCGAGGTGACGTGGTAAAACTGCCATCCAGGCGCGTCGGGAACAAAGCCAAGAAAGACACAGGGAACAGCGCGACGCGAGAGCTTGTCCGCGGACGTGTCGCGGACAAAAGCTCGAGATCCCCAGACCCGGAAACGCGACGCATCGCCAACCTCTCCCGTCCACCGAAGAGTCGGGGAAGTCTCCGGAAAGGAGACACGGGGCCAGAGGTTGAGCTGATGCGCGGCGTACCGGACCGCAAACGGCCACAGAAAGTGGGGAGCAGCCGCATGGGTCAGGGAGGTACGAGCGACCTCCATGACCAAGCCAATGCGGCGCTCAGCGACCCCATTCTGCTGTGGAGAGGCCGGAAGCGTGAACGACTGCTCAATGCCGTGCTCAGCACAGTAGGCTGCCAAGAGGTCGGAGGCGAACTCACCACCTCTGTCAGAGTGCAAGCGCAGGACAGGAAAGTCCGAGTGAAAGCGCTTGCCTAGCTGGAGACGGGCTCGGCTGATCCAGGGGATCAAAACACCAGGGACGTCACCCTTGGAGCGCAAGGGGAAGACCGTGGTGTAGCGCGAGTAGTCGTCAACAACTATCAGGAAGTACCTCTCCTGACCCTGACCACGGACGCGGGCTGGGCCCCACACGTCCATGTGGAGCGTCTGCAAGGGAGCAGTCGTCGGGGGAAAGGAGGAGGAGTGAGGAGCGGCGCGCTGCCGCCCCTCGACACAGGGAATGCAGTCAGGAGCAGGGGAGTCGGGAAGGGGAGGGAGCACCCTGGGAAGACCAGCAACAAGGTCCCGTTTGTGCATGGCCCGAAGGCGCTGCACAGACGGGTGACCAAGGCGGTGGTGCCAGAGGACAGTCTCATGCGCCAGAGAGCGACATGAGCAGGGGGCAGACAGCTGACCTGACGCAGACGCAGACGCAGACGCAGCTACCTGAGGGGACTCAGTGGTCAGTGTGTACAGGTCCGACCCCGGCTCCCGAGTGAAAGTAGCCAGGTGGCGGCCCGTCCGAGCACACGTGCAATGTGTCACACGCTCGTAGGCAGGGGTGAACTGGTGAACACCCCCGTCCTGCAGAGCACAGCCCGCCACCAAGTTCGTAGAGAACGAGGGGAGGTAGAGACCTGAGAGCGTGCCGGACGGAACCGCTGGACACGGAAGTGTAGTGGAGGAGGTCGCAATGACCGGACCCCCAGAGGGGTCAGCAAGAGAGACAGCAACCGGCCGAGCTAGTGGCTCAAGGACAGTGCGGTCACGAAAGAAAGAGCGAGAAGCACCTGAGTCCAGTGTGAAGGTGTGCAGTGCAGCAGTCGACTCAGTACCAGGGGGCACAGACGCACTAGCACCTAGGGCAGCTGCTGCAGCAGGACCTGTGGGAGCAGACACACTAGCACCTAGAGCAGCAGCTGGGCTGGCCTGAATGCCCGGGTCGGGCGGAACACGCAAGTACTGAGCACCCTCTCCACTAATAGACATTGCATACATGGCAGTGAGAATAGCATCAAAGTCTAGAGCCCAGATATCAACACCCCTCTTTTCCAGATCAGCCCAGCGCGGCAGCTCAGTGGCGTCAGGAAACTGGGTGCGCCACGCGTCGTTGAGGCGCGCGAAGCAGCGCTGCGTCTGGTGCGGCCTCCCACACGTCTGGCCAGTGCGGTCGCCTGTGCGAATAACATACGTGCAGGTAAAACCGCGCTGCGCATACCACTCACGGGCGGCCTGAAGCGTCGGGGAAGGCTGCTGACTCTGGCCTCCGCCCGTGCCTCCACGACCACCACCTCCTCCGCCTCCGCCCCGGCCACCTCCACCCCTGCCGCTGCCACGACCACCTCCGCCTCCGCCGCCGCCTCCGCCCCTGCCACCACTCCCACCGTTGCTGTCACCTCCCCCACTACCGCCACTAGCCTCCCCAGTCGCGCCTCCACCGCCACCACCTCCACCCCCGCCTCCTCCGCCGCCACCCCCACCCCTGCCCCCCTTGCTCCTGCGGCGCCCGCCCGAAGCAGACGCAGTCCCGACCTTCTCAGCACCAAGGAGGTCGACAGCAGCAGCAGAGGCGATAGAGGGGAGGAGGGGGGAAGGGGAACACCCCTCAAAGAAGGGGCCGCGAGGGTCGCCACGAGAGGTGCCTACAGCGACGATACTGGCCTCAGCTGCAAGCAGTTCCTTCTCGAGGAGGGCTACGGTGAGCTCGGTGGGGGAGCGAGAGAGGAAGTGGTCCCTGACTGCGCGGAGAGAGTCAGGGAGGCGAGTGACGATGTGGTAGAGAGTGATCCAGAGCGGGGGGGGGTTGCTAGCGAGGAACTCGTCAGGCATGGCAGCGCGAAAGCGGGCCTCACTAGTCTTAAGGTGGGTGATGAGGTCTGCGACAGTGTGAAAGGAGGCCAGGTCGGGGAACAGGTAGGGGAGAGTGAGGCGGCCTAGCGTGGCAGAAGCGGGTGAGGAGTAGCGGGCAACGACAGCGGTGTACAGTTCCTTAGCAGTCTTGCACTGGCCGAAGTGCTCGCGCTCATCTAGCGGCAGGGAGTTGCGTATGGCGAAGCGAGCGTGCGCGTCACGGGTCTGCCACTGTGAGCGCTCAGTGGGGGTAGCAGTAGTAAGAGGGGCAGTAGCGTGGCCGAGAGCATGGTCGTACAGAGAAATATCCTCCTTGGCCGTGAGCTGTAGGAACAGGTGTAGGTCATCGAGCCAGGTGTCGAACTTCACCGGACGGCCCTCGGCGTCGAAAGCTAGAACGGGAGGGCTAGCCATAGCGATAGTAGCAGTAGCAGCAGTAGTAAACAAAGTAGAGCCGCAGTAGCTGTAAAGACGCACTAGCAGGAGTCGCAGGGGCGCACGGGATGCGGTGGTAGGCCGGCAGTAGCGGCGTGCGGTGGCGGCTGCAGGTGCGGACAGTCAGTAGCGGCGGGCCGGCAGCGAGCGCGTGCGGTGGCGGCTGCGGGTGCGCACGGGCGGCAGCGGCGGGCCGGCAGGCGAGGGCGTGCGGCGGCAGCTGCGGGTGCTCACGGGCGGCAGCGGCGGGCCGGTAGCGGGTGCGTGCGGCGGCGGCTGCGGGTGCGTACGGGCGGCAGCGGCGGGCCGGCAGCGGGTGCGTGCGGCGGCGGCTGCGGGTGCGCACTAGCGGCAGCAGCGGGCCGGCAGCAGGCTGCTTGCGGGCCGCGCAAGCAGCGCGCGGGCCGGCAGCGGGTAGCGGGCGGTTCGCGGGCGGCGTGCAGGCCGCGCGGGCGGTTCGCGGGCGGTTCGCGGGCGGTTCGCGGGCGGCGCGCAGGCCGCGCGGGCGGTTCGCGGGCGGTTCGCGGGCGGTTCGCAGGCGGCGCGCAGGCCGCGCGGGCGGTTCGCGGGCGGTTCGCGGGCGGTTCGCGGGCGGTGCGCGGGCGGTTCGCTAGAGGGCCAACGGGGCCGGTAGGTGCGATCGCAATCGACGGGGCCAGCGGGGCCGGGAAAAAAAAGGTAACGCTCGCGAGGGCGCTACGGGGGAGACGCTAAGAACGCGCTCCGGTAAGTAGGTAGGTAGGTAGGTATCGTACGGTGGGCCCTGAGAACAGTCCTAGCGAAGGACCTGCTCTGAAACCATGTCAGAATAACTGAGCAGGAATGAATGAACTAGAACAGAGTTTGGTACAAGTAGGAAACCCTAACTTTGTGTACCCCCTAAGGTGTAACCCACTACAGCCTAGACAATATAAACATGCAATGTTTGACACGACCTTGTTTGCTGACAACAAGGCGATGATTCTCCTGTGTCGTGAGCCTCGACTGGAGAGCAGGGTGAAGCATATCGACGTCAGGTACTTCCTCCTTCGAGAGTTGCAGAGACGTGGACAGGCACGTCTGGACTTTGTGGCCTCCGAGGCCAACACTGCAGACATCTTCACCAAGGCTCTTCAGCCTTGTGACCACCGCCGGTTTTGTCTGCAGTTAGGCCTTGTTGAGACTGGGTCTAGTAGACTGCAGTAGTGAGTTCTTGCCTCTTGCTTGTTTGTACCATATATATATTAGCTTGTACACTCTTGAACTGGCCTTGTGGCCCCTTGTTTGTGCTCAGAATGTGTGGTGACGTTGAGATCCACCCTGAGCTTTGTTTTCTCGCTTGCTTGTGACTGGTCTTGTGACCTTAGGTTGTGTTCTGTTACTTGGCATTCCCCACTTAGGCTATGGGGGTGTGTCAAATGTTATAGCCCTTAGTGGGTCATACTATATGGGGTACAAACAAATAGGGTTAGGTACTTGTACCCCAACTCAATCAATGCAATTCATTCCGCTGTTCTCAGTTACTAAGAGAAATCGAAACGTCAGCCCTGGTGATATCCAGCCTATTCAGATATATGCACTTGACACTGAGGTTATTATACACCAAATTTTCTGGATCTTGGGGAACCCTCTTAGTTTGTGTGAATGTAATGCTGAGGCATTAAGATATTTTTTAGGGTATTTGTGTCATCACATTTTGATGTTTTGATGTATTAGCAGCCAGTGCATCTGCACCTAATTAATTTATTTGATGCAGAACGAGCAGCTACGTATTGCCCCAAGTCCCCCACGAAGTCGTGAAATGGGGTTGTAAAGTGGACTTTCAAGAATGGCGAAAAGCTGGCAAGTTCTTGACCAGTAGCAGCAAGCCTGCAGTCAAGCAAGATGCGAATCTCGCCACCTGGCGCAGATGGGTTGTGAGTCGTGACGACTCTCGCAGCTGGCGATCGTCGTTTCGTTAGAGTATCGCTTTTTAAGGGCGCGTGTGATTTTTGGAAATTGCAAAGTTCTAAAATTTTAGGCGATTTCCATTTTGATTTCATTGCGAACTGTAGTCAATTTACCGAGGTTTCAAACCAATCACAACAACACAACTTTGGCCGAATGTCGAGATTCGACCCCTTAGGTTACCCGGTTCCTGACACGTGGTTTTCTCTGACATCGCGACTATTTTCGCGTTTTCGGCAGGGGGACTTTGGTTTCGTACGTCTGAATAATTTCGCCAAACCACCCAGCGTGCCCTAAAGTGCACACGTTCGATTCAACGTGCTCGCACACGTTCATTTAATGAGTCGAGTCGAGTTCATATATTCAGGTCGCACTGGTCATGTGTTCAAAGTGGAAAATTTTCGCCAGACTCGTTCGACCTGATTTCTGAACCTAGAAAAAAATCACACGCGCCCTCAAGTGTGGTGCGTTCGTCGGATAAGGTGTCTAGCCGCTTCGTGTAACGGCCCGCAAGGATTCATCCATCGTTTACAGAGGATGATAGACGATCACGTCGTAAATTTTCGCAATGCGGCGAGCACAGTGAACTGTGCTCCTAAAGGACATCGCGCCGCGAACCGCTGTAGCGCGAAATTGCCAACTTGAATGCAACGCCTTCCCCTCAATCCTCGTCTCGAAATCGAAAAACCTCCCAACACACTGGAGCAGCAAAATGGAGCCCCCCCGCCTTCCCTCCGCTGAGCTAGGATTTTCGCCCACTCACCTATTGCGCCGAGCCAACCACATTACCGAGACCATTGTCCTTCGGTTCATTCTACCCAATGGTTGGCCTGCTTCAGGTAAGGAAAGTTCGCTCTGCTCTGACGTGTGGATCACTGGTTGGGCCTTTGTTGTATGTTTATCGCAGGTTTTTTGGAGTCCTCAGAAGTTGAAGCCACCTGCCTCCCCAGTTTATGGTTCAAGTGACGTATGGGGTTGGTTCTGCTCTCTGGTTGGTTGGTCGTTGTTCCGTCAAGAATGGGGTCTCGTTACGTCATCCAAGCTCTCCTGTGTCTTGCATGATCTCCTGGTGTCCCTGGTCGACGCTGCTCGTTCTGGTGCGGCGGTTTCTCACGTCAGTCTCGCTGGTGGACGCCTGGGCCATAGCCCAGGCTTACGTTTCCTCACGTATGCTCCGTCTGTTTCTCGGCATGCATGCTTCGCGACTCCATTCTGCTTATCTGGCAAACTACGTCTCCTCGTGTGCTGCGGCCATTGCCAAAGCCACGCTTCGATTTTCAATGTCTTAACAATTTTTTGGATCTGGCGGCTCGGTGTTTCTTTTTCACCTTGGCCTGACGATGGGCCTGACGTTCCCAGCTATAAGTTTCTCAATCAACTCTCTCTCTCCTCACCACCAAGCGCAATGCATCACCAAAAAGTGTCGGTCCGAAATGCAGCCGGCCAGCTAGGTGGTCCACATTGTGTCATTTGACCCCCCAAAAGTGTCCAAAAAGAGTCTTCACCCAAAATTGAAGGGTCTAAAAATGTCCGAAAATTAGCCAAAACGCGAAGTATCCGGAATCTGTCCAAGAAGTCTCCGATTCATGTTACTATGCAGAAGGTCGGGGATCGATGCTTGCCTGGTGCACTATACCGAACACAAAATTGTTAGATTAGGAAAGAAAACGAACACTCCCAATTATAAGTTGCTTTTTACTAGCTAGAATCGATCTCGCGATCTCCCAATCGCACGCGCGATTCGTAACCACTACGCTAACTCGGTTGTAAACCAAGCAAGTTGGTTCAATTAAACTCAAAATCCAATCAAAAACTCCTTCGCAACATGTTGACACCTGTTGCCAGGGTTGCCACCTGTCACACCACCTGCCACACAAACGCCTTCCTGTGCAGGTTAGGCTCGGAAAACATTAGCCACAGCTACCTACACACCTTACCAAACTCATCCCCCAACCACTCTCGACTTGTCCATCCCTTTCAGATCTAGATGCTCCATTTTTTAAACTGAGCTTTTCACTCGAGCATTTCTTGCCCAACATTTGTTCGCACGATCTGTTTTGGTTAGCCTAGCACTACGACTTTTGTAGAACCAATCTAGCTTTGCGGATGTTATACATTTAGGTTTATAAATCCAGTTTCTGCTTTTCTATGCAACAATGTCATGGTGTTCATCGCTTGCTGAGATGTGCGCGGTCCTACGTTTTTTATTCATTCATACAACCAGAATAACGCATTCCATGACGTCGTTTACTTATACCGCTCCTATTTCCAATATCTATCTATCCCCAGTGCAGCATTTGACGGTCTTCTTTTTACGTAACAAGTTATTCAACTTCGGGCGCTGCTAAGGAGCGCTACGGGCACTGCTAAGGAGCGCGATGGGCGCTGCTAAGGAGCGAGACTGACGCTGCTACGGCGGGTGCTGCTAAGAGACGAGATGGGTGCAACTTAAGTGCTCGACGGGCGCTGCTAATGCGGCTGCTGCTTAGAGGCGCGATGAAGAGCGGTAATTACATTGTTTAATTCAATATGAACCTGTGTGTTAACGGTTGCTAATCATCGCTTACCTTCTGATGTTTGTTTCAGTTGCATTTGGTGAAGATTTCCTTCATAGAGGGTGAATGTGTCATCACGCAGGTCGGTTTGTTTGATTCAATGTTGGCATTTTTTGTGGTTACCGACTTATACGTACATACAAGCTTCACGTTGATTTCGCGGTTTTGTTTGTTTCCTCCCCTTTGAAAGTGCTCGCAATCTGAAGGTTTTGTTTAATATTTCACAGCCGCCATTTAGTTCTCTATCACTAAGGTACGCGTCGGGCGCTGCTTTGTCAGGACGCTGCAAAGGGTCGTGACGGGTGCTGCTTACCCTGTTGCTGGTAAGAGGCCCCATCAAAGGTGGTGCTCAATTTGCTTAATGATTTGTTGATATAGCCAGTGTGTCTTGTACTTATTGGTTTTTCTTGTATTCAGAGATGTATTAATCACCGTGTAAATGGAGATGTTTGTTTCAATCGTTTCTGGTGACTATTTTCAACCTTGTTGGACAATGTGTCATCAGTCACCACGGTTTGTACGTTTTAGTATAAGCAATTTTGTAGTTATTATTTTTTGGAATGGACCTTGTGGCTCATTCAATATTGTTCTTCAATCCGTGCAGGTTATTTTTCTTTTAAGCATTAACTAATGGGGGTTCGTATATTTATCTGGCAATGCATTATTTAGTTTCTAGCAGTTTGTATAAGTAGAAATGCCTTTGCATGTTCTTTATTAAAAATCATGTAAACAATGGTTGGGTATAAATTTTATTGGTAAAACGCATCTTAGTATATCGGGTACGTGATGTACACATATTGCCTTCGCTTTTCGTATTGTCCAAATGGACTCTTCGCGGACTCTTTGGTCGGACCTAAAACAGACTCCGGAATGTAGCAGGCCTTGGTCCAAAAAGTCTCTTTTTCTGCACGTCCGGAATCCGTCCAGAAAGAGTCCGTTCGGACTCTTGGGGACAACTTTGGGACGCTGGAAAATGGAGATGTGGCCTCCCAGCATAACCCAGACGAGTTCATGGCGGACGGGGACCTGGACCCCTCCTTCTCGGTCGAGTCTTTCTTTGCCGAGGATGCTGCGCCCCCTGCTGTCTCCGCGCCGCCTCCCGCCAAGAGGGTCTGTGCTGCCGCCTCTTCCAGCTCTGCGCCAGTGGCTCCTCCGGCTGTCTCCCAGAGGCCGACGGTCGCTCATCCTACGGCCCCGGTGGCTGGACCGTCTAACGCCGTGCCTTCCACGTCTACCTCTACCCAGGAAGTAGCCCCGGTTCCCGCCCTGAACCTCACTGGCCGCTTTCTTCGCCTCCGTCGTAATCGGGAGACTGTCGGTGTTGTCGTGGAAAACCTGGTCCGCGATACTCAGTCGGTTGTCGTCGTGCTGTTCCCTGAAGCCCTGGAGCCTCACCGCAGCCGTATTGTCACTCGCGTGCGCAGTGTGCTGCGCGGACGAGATTTTGCTGGTGGTCGTGTGCCGGCCTTCGAGGCTTCTGCCGGCGAGCTGTTGCGTCTCCCTCGCCGGTCCTATGCTCGCCACGTGTTCCAGTGGCCTTCGCGGGATGATGCCGCTCGTTTCCGTGCTCTGCTGCCGATTACCTACCGTGCGTCTGACGGCCCAACTGCGGAAATCAAGGCCTTCACCGACCCTGTCCCCGATTTCACTGCTGCCAAGGCTCGGGGTGAGCCGGTATTGGTGACTCGCAACATCCCTATCGGCTACGCCACGCAGGATGTCAAGGATCTGCTCGTCACTCGCTGTAACGCGGATGGTGCCAGGTGGTTGGGTGACCTGCAGTTTTTTCATAAAGTGTTTGACCCGTATGAGGAATCTTACCTTCCCCAGATGGCTGGCATTCCGGTTGCTCCTGTGAATGACCCGCGGTTTGAGAACATTCCTGCAGTGATCTGGCTCCCCGCCGTTCAGGAGCCGTTGCTCGTCAATGTCTCCTCCCATTCCTGCGATGTCTGCCCCAATAATCACCGTACTCGGGACCACAGCAGCTTCGCTGCGGTCCGAAGGAACCGTCTTACCAACCCCTTCACGATCACGGTCGGACAGCTGCAACATGTCAACGGTACCTTCCCCTCTCTCCTGCTGCCTTGTTCTATGGGCCCTTGTTTATGCTTGGCTCTCGCTGGTCTCATTGTTTTTCTTGGTTCAGTTATGCTATGTCACCCTTCTTTGCATATTCTGCCAGCTTTTTCCCCCTCCAACTTTGCTTGGTTCTGCCCTTCCCATCCCGCCTCGGGAAGGCTGGTTCCTCTCATCCTTTGTGGTTCTCCTTCTGTTACCTCCTGCTCTCTCCATAATTGCAGCCAGGGTCATTGGCCAACATTCGGCTGTGGTGGCTTTCAAGGCCGACCCCGGCTTGCTGTTCATCGGAACCAACACAGAGGTCGAGGTCTGGACCTGTGGCCTCTGTTCCTTCTGCTGTGGCTGGGCACTAGACAGTGCCATGGAGCATCTTGCCAGCCCAGCGCACGCTGCTGCGCTCCTGAACGTCTCTGGCAAAGCTACTCCCATCGAGGAGCTCGGGGACATGAAGGTCCACGATCTCAACAGGAATGACGCCATCACTGCCTTCCTTGCGTAGGAATAGTAGTGACTTGTGTCGGCCTTGCTTCTCTCGATATCTCCTTCCCCAGCAGGATGTGGTTCATGGTGTACGAGGAGCTGTTTGAGCTGTTTGGAATAAATGATGGCTGCGGAAACCTTGTACTCACTTCCAGGACTACTGGTCATAATCTGAATAACGTGGCTCAATGTAGGAAACCTTGGCCTTCTGGGAAGGTCCCCCTCAACCCCCGTGGATGTGTGCTGTCCTCAGCACAAGGGGCTAGCTGTTATGGTTCCCATGGATTTACAACTAACCACACACTGTCTCAATGTTAATGGTTTAAACTCCTCTGCCAAGATGGACTCTCTCAGGGTTTGGTTAGCCAGGAATCCCTCGGATATCTTGATTCTCATAGACACTCGACTTTCTTCCAGTTTTAGGAACCTCATTTACAAATTTCGGCCACATGCATATGCCCAAGTTCCTCCTCTGGTTAACCCCTCCCAAACTTTACCCGGTGGTATTGCGATCTTGGTGTTTAATCATAGAGTCTCCATTTCAAGCCGCTGCTCTTCTGGTGATGGAAGAAGTCTAATGGTGCACTGTAACTTTCTGCATGAACAACTCAGGATCCTGGCCGTTTATGCCCCAAATTATTACCTTGATAGGAAAGCCTGGTGGTCCTCCACAGTGTCCCATTTCCTCTCTCAACCCTCTGCTTCTGATTCTACCATTCTAGCAGGAGACTTCAACAACATAATCAACCCTGCGGACAGGAACCGGGCTCTGCTGGCCTTTGAACAATCAGAAGCAAAAGTTCTGGAAGATCTTCTAATCTCCCACTCTCTCACCGACTCTTTCCATGATCAGTCGGTTACAGACCCTGTTTTCTCCTTCAAAGCTTCGGCACGGCTGCGAAGCCCCACTGCTGTTCCGGCGGCCTCTCGGCTTGATAGAATCTATATCTCTTCCTCGTGGGAAAACCGTATACATCAAACTTCATATCCCTTTGTCTCTCAGGCCATCTCTGACCATTTCCGCTGCCCTTCCCTCTTGATCAAGTTCCGTGCTCTCAACCTGGCTCCACGGCCCTGGAGGTTCCCCCATTATTTAATCCTTAAACCTTTCGTCCTGCAGACCCTGGAGGGGATGTCCCGCTCACTCCCTGAGCCTTGTTCTCCCACAGATTGGGATCGTTGGAAGTGCAGACTGCGGCGCAACCTGAAGTGGTTCAGCAAGGAAGAAAGGATTAGGGTTAAGAAAACGACATCTCATCTACAGGATGAAATATGCAAGCTTCAAATGCATTTGATCAAGAACCCCTCTGACTTTTCCTCCAGTATTCGGCTACAACACCTATCTTCCAGTCTGGAAGCATATGATAACAGTAAGGCTGCTGACATTGCACTCAAGGCAAAGTTAAAGGTGGAAGGTGTCAGAGGTCCACTGGAGATCCCCGATGATCCTAGGGAAGGGTTACAGGCACGTCGGCCTGGGGGGTTATGGGCGCACTCACCCGCTATATAAACAAGCCCTTTTATCCCAGTGGTTAGTGACTGGGATTCTGACATGTTATCAGAGCGAAGGTCTCGGGTTCGATTCCCGGTGTGTGCACTTCGGGCATCCCAGTGCGGGGGGGTGTCAGAGGTCCACTGGAGATCCCCGATGATCCTAGGGAAGGGTTACAGGCACGTCGGCCTGGGGGGTTATGGGCGCACTCACCCGCTATATAAACAAGCCCTTTTATCCCAGTGGTTAGTGACTGGGATTCTGACAGAAGGCCCTCGGGAGATGGGTATCTCCTCCCTCTTGGTGGGGCTGCAGAGACGTATTAAAGACTCTGTGATTCCTCACCTTACGCTGCCGTCAGAAGAACTGTCTGCCGACCTATCGGTCATGGCTGACCTCTGTACGGACTACTTCTCTAACCTCTACAGTGGCGAGACGACCATCTCACGGAACAGGTCCTTTTGGGACCATGTCTTCCCTTCTTCCCTTCCTGCTGACTGTCTGTCCCGCCTGGATAAGCCCTTGTCCGCCTCGGAAATCGAGAACGCTCTTTCACGACTGGCCAAGGGTAAAACTCCTGGGTTGGACGGACTGCCTGGTGAGGTGTTCCGCTCTCACAGGAAACTGTTCGCCCCGATTTTTCATAAGCTCTGTACGGGCATTCTTTCCTCCGGGCAGGTTCCTGCTTCCATGCTTTCAGGACGGACTGTTCTGATCCCCAAGAAGGGCAAATCGGACCAAGTGGACAATCTGAGGCCCATTACGTTAATGAATGCAGATTACAAAGTCATCACTCTCGTCCTTGCATCCCGGCTCCAAGCTGTACTCCCGCGTCTCATCAGCCCTGCTCAGTCGGCCTTTATCAAAGGAAGAAGAATCGGTGACACCATTAATGATACTCTCGACCTCATGGATTGGGCAACTTCCCAACAAAACCCCCTCCTGGTTCTCACTGTGGACATCCGGAAAGCTTACGATTTGGTGGACCGGGAATTTTTGTACTCATGCCTCCTTCATATCGGTCTCCCCCCCAATTTCGTTACCTGGGTTAGGCTGCTGCATACAGGTACCACCACACGTGTCTCGGTTAATAATCTTGATGGCCCAGTTTTTCCCGTACGAACAGGGGTCAGACAGGGCTGCCCGTTAGCCCCACTCCTTTTCGTTTGTGTTATTGAAGTCATGCAACGGTTTTTGAGTGTTTCCTTGCCTGGCTACGTGTTCTGTAAAGCCCAAAGGAGGCTTATGGCCTGCTATGCAGACGATGTGTCGATTTTTCTCAATTCGGATCAGGAGTTGGCTGATGCCACCACCGCTCTTCAATCCTTCGCTGCTGTTTCCGGTGAGCACCCGAACTGGAACAAGTGTTCGATCCTGCCCATCCACATCCCCGTGTCCTCCATACAACATGCCGGACACATTCCTGTCCGCGTACCAGAGGAGGCAGAAAGAATCCTTCCTTCAGCACAGCACCTCTCCCCGCTTCAAGTGCGAGCGCCGCACCCCCCACACACAGCATCCAGCTAGCGGGTGAGCTTGGGCTTGGGACTTCAAGAAACGCTAGCTGGGGGGCCTTGTAGTACTGATAATACAAGGCGAAGCCTCACAAATCATTATGCAAAAACATCGCATTTAGTACTGCTTAGTACTAGCAGATCTCCTACCCGAGAGCCACGCGAGCTGCCAGTTTTCCCCCGTCTATCTCTCGGCACAGGACGTCGCAGCGGCATCGCATCGATCTCCGCGCATCGCGGCGTCGATCCCGCCCACATCATCATGGCGCCTTCGACCGTCGTCCGTGCCGCGTCTAACACCCAAGCCGACGCTGCCTCCGTCGCCATTATCCCCCACTCCTTTTCCGCGACGCCGTCGGAGTTCGTAGTAGCTCGCGGGAACGCGGCGACGCCCGAACCAGAGACGACCTCTTTTGAGGCGTCTCAAAAGGGTGCGACGCTATTGGCCCCCGGCTTCCCGGCGACTTCACGGCGGTCGCTTTCAAGCATGACGAGAACCACGCCTTTTGAAAAGGCTCAAAAGGCTGTACTTTCGTCCTGCACTCCCGCGATGCGACTTGTCGGCGGGTCAGACCTGAGCGGTCTCAACGGGTCATCTGAAGAGCATTTCGGCAGTGTCGGCAGCTCCTGTCCCGTCCAGAACCCGAGCGCGCTGCGGAATGTGCCGGAGAAATCCGCGGGGAAGGCGGCAGGGGAGGCGGCGAATAATGCCGCGTCGCGAGAAGATGATGCTGACCCCGTCGCGACTTCTGCCGGCGCCAACCGCCGAACCGCAAACCGCGGCGCTCCCAAAGGCGGTCCGCCGCCGGTTCAGGACCACGCGGCCCCGACGACAACTTCTACGATTCGTGCGACTCGTGCGACGCGTGCGACGACTACGACTGCTAAGACCGACCGCCGGCGACGAGCGGTGAGCGTTGGAGGCGACCTCGACGGCGACCTGGGTCGTGCTGTCGCCTGCGACGTCGCATTGTCGCCTCTCTCTCGCCTGGGTGCCGCTACTACAGCCAACAGCCCTTCGACCCGCCGCATAACTACTAGTAGCAGCCATACTAGCACTGCTCGAACCACTACCGCCTATTCTCATGATTCTAGAAGCTACTATGATACTACTCGGTCTGGTACCGCATCCCCTGTCGCCGCCATCCCGCCGCCTCCTTCCTCGAGCTTTCCTGCGACTTCCGTGTTCCTCCCGGCGTTGCTGCGACTGGGAGCCGATCTGAGCGACGACCCCGACGACAGCGAGCAAGTCGTCGCACAGGGGTTCGCCCACGCCCGCACGAGGCCGCAGCAACGCGGGCACCGTCGCACGGGGAGCCTGGATGCGATGCTGCGAGCGGAAACGGCGACGGCTGGGAATCGCACCATCGTTACGACTTGCGTGGGAGTACCGCCGGCAGTGCCGCTAGCGCAGCGGGAGCTGCGGCGCGAAGCACGGGAGAAGTCTCTGACAAGCGCGAGGAGGCTCCAAAGGATGCCACGCCTTCCCCAGCCACGCCTTCCCCAGTCACGCCTTCCCCAGCCACGCCTTCCCCAGCCACGCCTTCCCCAGTCACGCCTTCCCCAGCCACGCCTTCCCCAGCCACGCCTTCCCCAGCCACGCCTTCCCCAGTCACGCCTTCCCCAGCCTTGTCTGGTTCTAAGGAGAGCAGCGGCAGCAGCTGTGGTGGCTCTTAAGGCTTTAAGGCCTTAAAGCAGCCAGGCTTTCAGCCACTCCCCACAGCCACTCCTCCCGCCGCTGGCTCTCAAAATCCTGCAGGCTTCGGTTCTGCGCGGTTCAGTAGTGCTGCGGGCTTTAAGGGCTTCAAGCCTGCGCTGCTGCGGCTGGGGGATGACCTAGGCGACGACCCCGACGACTGGGAGTGGCTTGCAGGGGGGCAGCAGCTGACGTGGAGCAATCCTGGCGGTCCGTCGAAGGGAGACGCGCAAGAAACAGGAAAGGAAAAACGCAGAGATGATGACAGCAGCGTTGCTCCTGCCGGCCCCATCGGCCATCTTGCCCCCATCGCCGCCTCCACCGCCACCACCGCCGCCGTCGCCGCCATCGCCGCCGTCGCCGCCGCCCCCGTGGCTGCTCTGCCTCCGCGGTCCCCAAAACCCGTTGCTGATCAGGTTGCTGGGGGTAGTAGCAGCTCTCAGGGCCGGCGAATTTCTTTTGAGGCGCCTCAAAAGAGGTCCCCAAAATCTGCTGCCAGTCCAGTTCCTGGTACTAATAGTTGTAGCTCCCAGGGCTGGCAGCAGGGGCAGGGACAGCGAAGGAAGCAGCAGCACCGCCGAACGCACTCGTGCCATGCCAGCTTGCAGCCCGGGACGACGTCGGCCCAGAATCACCCATCATACAGCGCCGGCTCTGAAGCGTTTGAAGGCTTTAAGACGTTTGAGAGATTTGAGCGGCTGGACCTGGAAGGGCTTGACGCACTCAAATCCAACAAGTCCAAGTCCCCTCCTAGCCTGTCCCACGGGCTATCTCCTAAGCTGTCCCACGAGCTATCTCCTGCGCTATCCCATGGGCTATCGCCTGGGCTATCCACTGGGTCGCCTCTCCCAGTCCCCCTTGCGCGCTTGCCCTGCTCTTCCCCCTCTGCAAATTCCTGGTCAGGAGGTGGAGGATTCTTTTCTGGGAAGCTTGCGCAGGGGCGTGCGGAGCAGGGGTGCGGGCTTGAGAATGAGCTTGTGAATGGGCATGAGAGAGGGCGTGGAGAAGGGAAGGAGGGGAAAGGGATCAAAAAGGAAGGGGAGAGGCATAAGGAGAAGAGAAGGAGGCACAGAAGGTCATTTTCCTGGGGAGCTCCTATCTGCATGCCTGTTGACCCCATTGACCCAACTGGCCCTGTTGACCCGGTTGACTGCATTGACCCTGTTGTTTCTAATGGCGCTGGTGCTGCGGCTGCTGACTCATCCAGCTTGGGTGCATCGCCTTTCTGTAGCAGAGATACTTCTGCTGCTGCTGCTTATGCTGCTGCTGCTGGGGTTCCTCCTGACAGCGTTGGGCTAAGTGGCTTGTCGGCCTCAAGGCATGAAGGAAATCAACGGCAAGGGCAATGGAGGCAGGGGAATCGAGGCGCTCTGAGTGTTGCCAAAGTCATGGGTGTGATGATCCCAAGACTAGACAGCATGAAGGCTCAATGAAGGAAAGAACATTGATTGATTAGGCATTTCCAGGGAAAGAATTGCCTGCTGTGGGATTGATTGATTGGATATCCTCTTGTGGGCTATCTTATTTGTCCCATTTTTGTAGCCACCTTTTGTATATTATTTTACTACTACTGTAACAAAAGCTTCATGTGATAAGAGCGTGTTCCCACGGGCCCCTATCAGGCCAGCCTCTTGTCAGCAGGGTCGTGTGAAATGGGTTTGCTAATGTGGCAGGGTCAGAATGATTTCGCGCTCGAATTCACATCGCGCAAAACAGGTTTTTCAAGTCTGACGCACTGTGATTTATAACGAGAATCTCGATTCTTTTGTTTCTGATACCGTATGAGGAGGGCCTGATAGGGGCCCGTAGGAACACGCCCTAAGGCTAAGCTATGCTGTCCTATGCTGCCTTTGGGTATATATGAGGTGCAGTGCAGAGTTTGGTGTGGGCGGGCGCCACCTTTGCTAATGTCTGGGGCTTGGTCAAAGTGACCCTACCTACTTTGAGGTGGCCTTTTCCCCTGTCCATGGACCATACATAGTGGGGATTGTCGTCACAATGACATGTTGATCCAGCCTGCCCCAACCGACAAGCCAGTGAAGGGTTTCGTGGGAGCGAGTCCGATGTGAGGTTTGCTTGATAAGAGGCCATAGGAACACGATCTTACAGTACAGATTCGGTCCTGGCCAGAGTGCAAAGGCAGTGCAGGTTCCTTTGAGGGGTTGTGGAGTGGCTTATAAGCTGTACAGAACAACTCTAAGGATCTTTGTACAGTACCGGAACTATGGCCTAGTGCGACTGTGCAGTGTGCGTCTTGATCCACGGATGCTCTGAGGAATGCAAGCAAGGGGCATGTGGAGGGAAAGGAAGAGGCAATGGGAGGTAGGGAGGAAAGAAACGAAGGGGGAAGGGGGCCGGGTGGATAGAGGGAGGAAAAGGGGGAGCGAAATAGGGGTGAGTGCTCGGAATATTGAGGGAGAGACGGAGAGGAGACGTGAAAGCTAGGATTAAAACATTTGGATCGCATGAAAATAGGCGAGTTGAGGGAGCGATGAGACGGGGAGCGAGAGAAGGATGAGGGGAACGGGTTGAGCGGAGAAAGGAAAGGGTCAGGCGGAGTAGTGCTTTGAGGGGATGGTACACTAATGGAGCAGCAAGGCTTAGGGGATGGTACACTAATGGAGCAGCAAGGCTTAGGGGATGGTACACTAATGGAGCAGCAAGGCTTGTTTTGAGACGTCTCAAAACATGGTACAAAGGTGACTTTTGAGTCGACTCAAAAGTCACCATGGTACACTAATGGAGCAGCAAGGCTTAGCGGAACAGTGCTTCAGGGGAGGTACACTTACCAAGCACCGCATCCAGTGTGATTCTCTCCGCCGGGTCTTTCTTAAGCATCTCTTTTATAAGGCCCTTGGCCTCTTTGGAAATGGACGGCCATGGAGGGAAGGAGAAGTTGAGAGGCTTGGATACGATTGCATCCAGCACTCCGGATTCTGTGGAGGCCCAGAAGGGCGGCACGCCGGCCAGAAGGACGTATAGGACGACTCCCGCCGACCAGACGTCGGCCTCGGCACTGTAGCTTTTGTTGACCACTTCTGGCGCCATGTACATGTGCGACCCTATGAACTCCGTTAGCTTGGCGCCTGGGGGAGGGGGACAGAAGGGGAAAGGATCAGAGAGGAGGGAGAGAGCATGAAGGGGAAGGGAATGAGCACTGGAATAAGCCTAGGCTTCTGGTGCCACGTACATGTGCGACCCTATAAACTCCGTTAGCTTGGTGCCTGGTTGGGGGAGGGACGAAGAGGAAGGGGAAGAGAATGAGCATAGGATAGTGATAAGCCCAGGCTTCTGACACCATGTACATGTGCGACCCTATGAACTCCGTTAGCTTGGCGCCTGGGAGGGGGGAAGGAAGGAGGAGCAGGAGGGGAAAGAACGGGGAAAGAACAAGAAGGGGATGGGAAGGGGGTTGAGAGAGGAGCAAGTGAGATTAGGCTGGTGCCGTGTGAAAGAGAAGGTGAGGGGAGAAGAGTAACTTGTCAGCCTGGCAAATGTGGCGCAGTGCAGTGCGAGCCTGCAAAGCACCAGTGCTGCAGTGCTGAGTCTATTTTTGAATCGACTCATCATAGCCTGGCAAAAGAAAAGACTCATCGCAGCGCGAGCCTGTTAAGCACCAAAGCTGCAGCGCCCCCATCCTGATCGCACTAAGCACCTACAGCATCAACAGTACCAGCACCAACAGCACGAGTTTTCTGAGTAAAATCAACTCACTGGGCTACTGACTCTGGATACGCCTCAGCTGGGAGAGCAAGTAGAAGGTTTTCGGGCTTCAAATCCCAATGCATGACCTTCAGGCGTGGCACTTCCACAGCAACAGCACTAGCACCAGCTGCTTTTGAGGCGCCAGCACCTCAAAAATACACTCCCACGGCACCAGCACCAGCTGTTGTTAGAACCCCAGCCACTAGATCACTGGGATAAAACGTCCTGTTAAGTAGCGGATGAGTGTGGCCATAACCCCCCAGGAAAACGTGTCTGTAACCCTTCCCTAGGATCAATCCGAAAATCCAGTACAAATCTACTTACATCCCCCTCACTGGGCTGCTCTACGACACAGCACAGCGGCAGCGACACATGGGCGCCAACATGTCCGCACATGGGGATTTGAACCCGAGACCTTCGCTCTGAAGCCATGTCAGAATTTCAGCACGCTTCACAAGTGAAGCATCGATCCTGTAGGGGATCGGTGTGTCGATGTACAGTAATTTGCGATGTCTCGTATCCCTATTTCGTTCGTTATCGCGAAGGCTTGAGACAAGTCACAAACGGCGATAGATCTTCCAATATCGATCGGTCACCGCAGTGTATTGCATTCAAAACTTTCCGAAACGTTTCTGACCCTGCCAAATAAGGATCCTGAGGATGATCGTGACACATGTGGCTCGGAAGCGATCGATGCTCACAGCTTCGGTGTGTGATCCCGAACCTCCTCCGATCTTTCAATTGTGACGCATCCTCAGCCACTACACAACTGTGATAAAATTACTCGTTCAGTAGCGAACCCCCCAGGCATGTAACCCTTTTTTAGAATCAATCGGGAATCCTTAGTGCAGATTTTCTGACAGCTGCTACAAGATTTTTCCTCACTGCATTCGAGATCTTCTCAAATCCCAAGGCTCTCACACTGACACCTCACCTGCTTTGATCGTTGCAGAGATCCAGGAGTCAGTGACTTCCACAGCAACGCCATCATGGGGCGAGAAGAGCAGCAGGTTCTCGGGCTTGACATTGCAGTGCATGACCCCCAGAAAGTGGCACACCCGCAGCACCAGACCAGACCCACCTGCTGCCGCATTTCCCATTACTCCATTCAAGAACTTGTTTCTCAATCCCCAACCTTTGTCAATCCCCAATCTTTCTCAAATCCCGAATCTCTTACCCCCGATTGACCCACCTGATTTGATCGAAGCAGCGATCCCAAAGTCTGTGACTTTCACAGCCACGTCATCTGTGGGCGAGCAGAGCAGCAGGTTCTCGGGCTTCACATCGCGGTGCATGACCCCCAGGGAGTGGCAAGCCTGCAGCACCCCCGCCAGCTGCTGCAGCACGGCAGCTGCGGGTTTCTCCTCGTAGCGGCTCCGCTGCTTGATGCGATCAAAGAGGTCCCCCCCCTTGCAGAGCTCCATGATTATGTGTATGTGCTGGTGGGAGGGAGGGAGAGAAGGGGGGTTTGTGGTGGGGGAATCAGGAGAGGAGAGATAAGGACTGAAAACAGGTCACCTTGACTGCTTGATGCGATCAAAGAGGTTTCCCCCCCTTGCAGAGCTCCATAATGATGTGCACGTGCTGGTGGGTTGGGGGGAGGGGGGAGAGGGGAGGGGGGAAGGATGGGGGAGAAGAATGGGGGAAAGGAATGTGGAAAAGGAATGGGGGAAAGGAATGGGGGAAAGGAATGGGGGAAAGGAATGGGGGAAAGGAATGGGGGAAAGGAATGGGGGAAAGGAATGGGGGAAAGGAATGTGAAAAAGGAATGGGGAAAAGGAATGGGGGAAAGGAATGGGGGAAAGGAATGGGGGAAAGGAATGGGGGAAAGGAATGGGGGAAAGGAATGGTCAAAAGGAATGGGGGAAAAGGAATGGGGGAAAGGAATGGGGGAAAGGAATGGGGGAAGAAGGAATGGGAAAAATCCAACATCTTGGGTGCGCATGCCTCCAGACATATGCCTACCATGCCATGCGAACAGACACACATCACACACGTATCGTGTCATACTTTTCGGGCGCCTCAAAAGTAGAAATCACACACGTACTGTGTCATACTTTTGAGGAGCCTCAAAAGAAGAAATCACACACGTACCGTGTCATACTTTTGAGGCGCCTCAAAAGAAAAAATCACACACGTACCGTGTCATACTTTTGAGGCGCCTCAAAAGAAGAAATCACACACGTACCGTGTCATACTTTTGAGGCGCCTCAAAAAAAGAAATCACACACGTACCGTGTCATACTTTTGAGGCGCCTCAAACGAAGAAATCACACACGTACCGTGTCATACTTTTGAGGCGCCTCAAACGAAGAAATCACACACGTACCGTGTCATACTTCTGAGGCGCCTCAAAAGAAAAAATCACACACGTACCTTGTCATCCTCCACAGTCTCTTCATCTCCATCACATGCTGCTTTTGCACGGCTCAATAATCACATACCATCCCCACACACCCCATGCCATCCCCACACACCCCATGCCATCCCTACACACATACCGTGTCATCCTCCACAGTCTCTTTCATCTCCACCACATGCGGATGCCCCTTGAGCAGCTTCATCACCCCCACTTCCTGCTGCAGAGCAGCCACTGCCGCTTTGCTCTGAAGGGGGGAGTCGGGGAGTGGGGGTGTGGGGATAAACGGAAGCGGAGAAGTGCATGGTTTAGTAGGAGAGGGAAGGAATGCAAGAGGGTGTGGGCGATGCCCCTTGAGCAGCTGCATCACTGCCACTTCCTGTTGCAGTGCCACTGCCGCTTTGCTCTGAAGCGGGGCATGGGGGAGTGGGGGAGTGAGGGAGTGAGGGAGTGGGAAAATGGAGGGAGAGAGTGAGTGGGGGTATGGAGAGAGGGCGATGCCCCTTCAGCAGTTGCATCACTGCCACTCCCTGTCTCAGTGCCGCCACTGCTGCCTTGGTCCGAAGGGAGGTGTGGGGGAATGAGGGGGAGAAAGATTTAGGGCAAACAGGATATACTTGGGGAAATGGGGGATTGAGGAAAAGGGAGAACAGGTGAATGGGGGAATTGTGAAAGGAGAATGGGTTCCCCGAGATAGCGAAATTGGAAAAAAAGGGGGCCTCCATTCGTGCACGGTGCACCCGGAATCTGATTCGTGCCAATGCCCTTAAAAAACCCACGTCTTATGTTGAGTCCACGCCAAAACGTCTCACCTGTATCTGATCCTTCCCGATGCTCTTGCACGCCCAAGTTTTCCCCGTCTCCTTCTCCCTCACAGCCCGGATCATCCCATACGACCCGCTCCCAATCTCCTGCTTAACTAAGTACCGCTCCTGCAGAGAGCAAATCTCCCCGCCTAAAATCCCCACTTTGGTAGGCCGCCAGGAGCCTATGATTCCCCTAGGAGACAGCATGCTGGTTAAGAAGCTGGCTTTAAAGCCGGAGGACGACGGGGTACGGGGTGAGACAGGCATCTCTACTCGTAGCGGGCTGATACTGTGGCGTTGGTTGCTGCTATGATTGCTGCTGCTGATGCTGCTGTTGCCGTGGCTGCTGCTGCTGACTGCTGCGGTGCTGCTCTGACTAGCATCAGGCACAAGTGCATGAGAGGATGATTTATCCCCATCCTTACTCCTCTCCTTCTCCTTCTCCTTCTCCTTCTCCTTCTCCCCCTCCTTAGTTCGCTCCTTCCCCACCCGCCGCCCTGTCTCCCTCAGCTTCTCCCTGCCAATCCCGCTCACCACCACAGTCAAACTCCCCGCGCTCTCACCAGACTGTCGAAACCCCCCCTCTCGCACCCGCCCCCGCCCTCCCAGCCCCAGCCCCCCGGAGTCAACCAGGGAGGTGTTATCCAGATAGGTGTTATCCAAGCCCCCAAGGGGTTCTTCTGGGAGGTCAAAGCGCAGGTCGCCCTGGGACATCCCTCTTCGGTCCTTGGACCTGCGCCACGGGCTCTTTGCCCGGCTGCTTCTGCTTGAAGTTTCCGTTCCAGCAGCAGCCGCATTACCAGAAGCAGCACTGCCAGTAGCAGCAGCGATGGCAGCGGCAGCAGCGGCTGAGGCCGACTGCTTCTGCCGGTGATCATCAAAGCGAGATGAGCCTGCGCCTGCTGCTGCCTTCAAATCCAGCTTCAAATCCATCACCGTCGTCTCAAAATCGGGCAGCAAACTTTTCTCGGCTGCCCGGAACGAGGTCCCACCAGCCTTCCCCCGAGAACGCCCTGGCGTGATCGCGCCGCGAACCTTAGACGCATCAAAGCCAGCAAGGGCTCCAGCAGAGGGCTTGACAAGGTCTGAGGGATCGCCACCACTGGTGGATTTGAGGTCCTTAGAGCGGCGCATGGTGGCATATACCTTCTCGTTGCTGCGAGCCAAGGCACTGTCTCGCTTGGAGAGCTTCGAGTTGATGTCTTTCCTTCCTCTCCTCTCCTTGCGCTCCCCACCCTCCTTCCTTACCCAGTCCTCTTTTGTTTCCCCATCCTGTGCTTTTCTCAACTCTGCCTCCTCTTTCTCCTTTTCCTGCCTCCCACTTCCATTCTCAACTTCCGTACACTCCTCCTGCTGTTGTTTGCCCTCGTTCCCTCCTCCTTCCCTGCTCCCTTTCCCTCTCCCTCTCTCCATCCGCCCTCCATCTTCCCCTCTCCCTTCCCCACTCTCGTTCTCCCTAAAAGATCCCCTGCCTCGAGAACCATCCCTCCTGTGCTCTCCCCCTCCATCCTTTTCCCCGCGCCTCTCTCCTCCCCCATCTCGTCTCCCATCCTCTTCCCTCTCCTGCAACTGCCTCATCAGCAACATCTCAGCCGCACCTACCTGCCTTCCACCTCCCTTCCACTCGCGTCTCCCCATCTCACCTCCCCCTATCTCTCCTATCCCCCTCTCCCCCTCTAAACCCTCCATACCCTCATCTCCCTCCTCCTCCCAGCCCATCTCCTCCTCTCCCCCTCTCGACCTCCTCCCCACTCGCATCTGCCGCAGCCGCCGCTCCCGGCGCCGCCGCTGCTGCTCTTTCTCGTCATCAGTATGATCCTTTACCAATGAATGCTCCAGTATTGAGGCATACAATAACGAGGCCTCGCCCTTAGGACTTCTGCCCTTCTCTTCCTTGAAACTTCTGGGGCTTCTTCGCCTGCCCCCCCTCGGGCTCTTACCAGGAGATTTACCAGGAGTTCTAGGGCTTCTGCTTTTAGTCACCGCACCAGCACTCCCCGTTCGCATCACCCTTACTCTTCCCCCATCCTCGTCATTCCCCACATCCCCCTCATCCTCATCATCCCCGCCTTTCAGAGGAACCAGGCTCGACACCCATTCCTGCACAACCCTCCGATCTGCATCATACCTCCCCTCCTCTTTCTCCGTTCCACTCTCCTTATCTCTCTCCCCCCGTATTTCCCCCAATCTTTCCCTCCCCCTCTCCCCTCTTCTCTCCCCGGCTCTCTTTCCCCCGCTCTCCTCATCCTTGCTACGTGTGCTGGTCTCAACCTTGCCGCTGATTGTCACATCTGATTCGCTGTCGCTCAAACCCACACCCTTGACTGCTGCTTCGATAGAATCACCCACCGCGAAACTAACAGCTGATTTGGCGCGCCTGTGGCTTCTAGCTGTCGCGGCTGCAACAGCAGCAGAAGCAGCAGCAGCAGCAGCAACACTGGAAGCACCAGCGCCAACGGCAGTATCAACAAAAGAACCATCACCAGCAGCAGCGGCAGCATCTGACCTACAATCCTTCCTGGAACCTTCTTCAACACTACGCCCCACAATGCTGTTCTTTCTGGCGCCAAGATTGTCCGATTGCTTCAGGCTTCGAGAGGAAGCAGAGGCTACGAGCTTCCTGCTGCTGCCACTGCTCCTGCTACTCACACTCGCAACAACACTACCCTCCGTGGGGCCAGAAGAAGGGGCAGACGATGCGGAATCGGGTGCTAGAAGCAGGGATGTAGCAAGTTGCTCGGGAGGGGTAGGGGCGTGACGCGGGGAGAGAGGCAAACGGGACAGAGGCAGGGTGTGGTGAGGGTCAGAAGGGGGGAGAGCGAGCGGCGAGAATGCAATGGCGTCCATGCTTCTGTTTGAAGACCGCATTCGCAGGCGATCCTTCAGTTGGGACCATAGGTGTCTCCCAGGCTTATCAGGCTTATCATGCTTTTCAGGTTCTTCAGGACTATCAGGCTTACCAAGGTTATCTACCTCCTTGAACTTATCCTCCTCCTTCTTTCCCTCCTCGCCCTCCTCAGCATCTTTCTTCTGCCCTCTCGCCTTCGTTGTCTCGTCCCTCCCCCCCCTCTCCTTCTCCTTTTCCTTTTCCTTTTCCTCTTCCCGTGCAGCTGTTACCTCCCCGGGCTCGATACTGCCTGACTTTTGCCGCTGTCCTGTAGAATCTCTTACCCTAAACGAGTCAGAGGCTTTAAACGATCTTGTGCCTTGGCACCGCATTCTGGGAGTCAAAGGCTCACCTTTAGGGGTGGTGGAGCTGAAAACAGGTGTACCTGCCCTGGGTGTACCTGCCTTGGGTGTACCTGCCCTGGTCGTGCCTTCTCTAAGTGTACCTGCCTTAGGTGTGCCTGCCCTGGGTGTACCTGCCCTGGGTGTCCTAGGCAAATCAAAATCTTGGCTCTGACAAGCTGGTACGTCCACAGACAGACTCCTCCTGCCACGTGGCATGGCTCTAGCAACATGGGGAGCAGCCCCGGGGCGAGGAGAAGGGGGAGGATGGGGCAACACGAGGGGCGCCAGAGGGGGAGAAGGGGGAGTGAGGGTGCTAAGAGGGGGAGGAAGGGGAGCGGTGGGGCGGGGAGAGTGGGGAGCGTGAGAGCGAGGAGAAGGAGGAGGGGGGAGAGATTCGTTGCTTCGAGGAGAAGGAGGAGGGGGGAGCGTTTCGTTGGTGCTAAGCAGGTGATCTACAGGGATGGCCTCTGCAGATGCCCACAAGCGGCGGAGAACGTGCGAGGACGGCTCCTTTGGAGTGCCAGGGGCTTTTCCAGGTGTGCCAGGTGCTTTTAACTCGCTTGGTGTTCTCCTGACTTTCCGGCTGCTGCTGCCACCACCGCAACTGCTGCTGCTGCTGCTAGTGCTAGTGGTGGAAGTGGTGGTGGTGGCGGGATTAGTGGTGGCTGCAACGCTGCTGCTGGTGGTACTGCTGATGACATTGCAGAGCAAACTGTCAAGGGGAGGGTGGAAGATGCTTAACGGAGTGTGGGGAGGAGGATGCACAGAAGGATGGAGAGAACGGGGAGCAGCATCCGTTGTGGCATGCACACTGAAGTTGAAGGGTCCTGCAGGAGGAACGACAGACTGAGCAGTGTGATGCTGCTGCTGCTGCTGCTGCTGCTGGTGCATGAGTTGGGTCCCGTGTTGCTGCTCCAACTGCTGCAGCTGTTGTTGCAGCTGTAACAACTGCTGCTGCACCTGTTGTATCTGTGGGTGCTGCGTCTGCAGCTGCTGCTGCTGCTGCTGCTGCTGCTGCTGTTGCTGTTGCTGCTGTTGTTGCTGTAATTGCTTCTGATGATGCTGTTGCTGCTGCACCTGTTGTAGCTGCTGCTCATGGTAACTTACCACCCCGCTTCTCGCCCCATCACTCCTCAAGGGCTTACACACAGGTAAATCCTCGTCCCCGTCCTCCTCCCCCTCACCCTTCTGCTCTTCTTCCTTCGCCCCTTCGCTTCTTTCTGCTGCTACATAACTTGACGCACGCCCGTCCTTTGAGCTTTGAGAGCTTTGAGACGTCCCAACACTCACCGCACTCCCATCGCTCTCAATCCCAGCCTCCCCTGCCGCACCTCCCTTTGCTTCCTCCACAGAGCCATCAGCTCCTACCCTATCGTTGGGCGCCTTGCTACCCCCAGCAGCAACAGGCCAAGACTCGTGCAAGTCTTCAGCATCAGGAGTCACGAGCCCATACAGGTCCCCCTGAGAGTCCCCGCTATCACATGCCCCCTCTGCATCCCATACTTTCCGCAGCAACTGAGAGGGAGACGCTGGGGAGAGCGGGAAGGAGAAGGGAGAAGGGGGAGCTAGAGGGTGGGAGTGCACGGGGGAAAATGGAGGGAGGACCGGGAAGGTTTGGGAGAGGAGGGAACGGGGAAGGTGAGCGCTTTGTGAGTGGGGAGATGCTGGTGGTGGAGGGAGGGAGTGAGGGGAGTGTGGATGCGACGATGAGGCGTGGGACGAATCACGACTTGACAAATTAGGGTTTGCAGACCAGGGGTGGGACAATCCAGGGCTCGACGTGGACATGCGCATGGGCACTGGCATTGGCATGGGCATGTGCACAGGCATGTGCACAGGCATGGGCATGGGCATGGGCATGGGCATGGGTATGTTAGACTGCAGAGAGGCATCCGCTACGTTTAGAGGTGGAGGCAGGCAAAAGGATTGCAATCCTCTGGCGTTCAGAGAGGTGTTTTCAGACGGGTTGATCTGAGGGAGGTGGGCCTGAGGAGGGCTAGGGCTGACTTGGGGGAGGCTGGTTTGCTGTTGTGGGAAAGCTTGAGGGGAAGATGGAAGAAAAGTTGGAGAAATAGGGGCTCCAAGCGCAAGTGGGGATGGAGGATGGAGTAAGTGCTGCTGCCATGACGGATGTGGAGCAGTAGAAGGAGGGGCGGAGGCGGGCGGATGGGCTGAGAGGAGCTGTTGCTGCTGCTGTTGCATGGTTTGGTTGCCTCGAGGACTCAGCAGCAAGAGCGTGGGGTGTTGTGACGCCTCTGTTGCAGCTGCCGTTGCTGCTGCTGCTACTGCTGCACCTTCACCTGCCGCAGCTCCGCTTTTCCCAGCCAATTCCAGCCAACCAGAGGTGAGCGAGAGCCTTCTGTAAACTGAGTCATCCCCCGTCTCCTCTCGTTCGTCCTCATTCCGTCCCTCCCCTTCTTTAGCCATCCGTTCCTCCCCCCTGCCATCCCTCTTTACCTCTCCCTCTTCTTCCCTCTTCCCTTCCGGCCCTTCTTCCCTCCCCTCCTCTGTTTCGTTCCCCCTCCTATCCTCCCTCCGCCCTTTCCTTCCCTCCTCCCTTCCTCCCTCCGCCCCTCTCTCCTTCGCTTCCTCCCAACCAACATTTTCCCCCTCAACCCTCGACCGCCTGTCTTCTCTGTCCCCCCTGGATCCTTTTTCCTTGCTCTTCCTCTCCGCCTTCACCCCCTTAGGACTCTTCTGCCCCCTCCCTTCCCCGCTCGTATCTTCAACCCTCTCGTTACTCCTCTCGTCCTTTCTATCTTCTCTCGCCCCGCTCCTTCCCACCGCGACAGCCGCTTCTCCTGTGCGTTGCATCCCTTCCGCAAGATCCCCAGGCGAAGCGGCAGAAAGATGCTTTTGGTCCACGCATCCACTCCCTTCCGCGACATCCCCAAGCGAGGCAGCCCCCAGGCGCGGGGACGCAAGCCCGCCCGCGCCAGGCGCGCGCTCGATGGCGGAGCGCCATTGGTTGGCGCTCTTCGATCCGCGCTGCAGCAGCTTCTCCTTCGCGCCGAGGCTAAGACTAAGATTAGCCGCCTCTCCAGTCCTTCGATCTACGAAGCTCGCCTGAACTAGCTTCTTCTGCCGCCGCTGCTCCTGCTGCTTCTCCTTCTCCTCTTGCTTCTGCTTCTGCTCCTGCTTCTCCTCTTGCTGCTGCTGCTTCTCCGAAATCTCTTCCTCCTCTTTCTTCTGTTCTCCCTTCACTCTTCCGTCACTCTGCCCCGTCGTCATCCCCTCACTCGACAACGCTCCCCCAAGGTCCGTCGCATCCGCGCTCGCTCGTCGCGCTCGCGCGGAAGGGCTGCGCGAGGGATGTCTTCTCCCCCCTGCTACTCCGCTCGCGGAACCTGCGAAAGCGCTCGAACACTTGCGCCCGCGCGGGCTGGGTGCAGGGAGAGCCTCCGCCGAAGGAGCTGCGTTAGGGCTGGAAAATGTGCCACCTGCGGAAGCTCCTTCCGCCCCTTCTCCGGTTTTCCGAATGTTAAACGAACGCAAGCGCTCGCGCGCCCAGTCCGCGGCGGTGAAGGCGTCGGCGGCGGACTGCGCGCGGCGGTGGCCCGCGGGCTCTGCGCGGAGCCTTCCCGCCGTCAGACTAGCCGCCGCCTGCGCGACTGGCGCTTTGGCTGCATCAACTGCGCCGGGCAATAACTTAATTCCCACCTCGGCATCATACAGATCAACGGGAGCCCTGGTAGCTGGGCTATCATGGCTGCCTACGCTGGTGGGGTGGCGACCAGACTCGTTGCTGCTGCCTCCGCCGCTGCTGCTGGTGGTGACGACGCTGCTGCTGTTGCTGCTGCTGCTGCTGCTGCAGCTGCTGACGATGCCGCTGCTTACACTGTTGCTACCGGCGCCAGAGGTCGTTTCTCCGTGCTTTTCACTCGGGAGAGAGCTATTAGGCAGATCCAGGTGTATCTCCGGGAAAGACGCCCGCTTCTTGTGCTGTTGTTGTTGCTGTAACGTTTGAGGAGGTAGCTGAAAGCTCGCCTGTCGCCGATAACCAATCTCACGACCGGTGCTTTTCTGTCGGATTTCCACTCGCGAAAAGCTTTCTTGACGGAGATATCGATCCTGACGGCCACGCGGCTCCTCAGGCCGACTACCCTGACGTTTAACACTCTCCTGGCCATTCAAGCTCTCTTGTCCGTCAAAGCTCTTCTGACGGTTATTATAGCTCTCCTGTCGGTTGAAACTCTCCTTACGGCTATCGCTCCCATGTAGGTCGTAGACAGAATAAATTTCCGAGCTAACAGCGACGCGGGACGCTGACGCGGGAATTCTCCTCCGTTCCCGCGGTACTAACACAGACCCCTCATGCGCGCTGCGGGATTTTCCTGCACGATGCCTATCTTTTGCACGAACAACTGGAGCGTAATCAGTAGTAGCCGTCGTCGTCAGCGTCGCCTCAGCGGCATCCGCGCGAACCGTCGTCCGGCTCTCGCTGGCTCCAGAGCCGTCGTTGCTGACGGACTCGTCCGATTGCTCGGATTCTCCGTCTTGACGGCCGTCTTGTTCCTGCGTCGCCGGAGGGGCAATCGAATCGGTAGAACTAGATGCACTAATGCGTCTACTACTACGGGCATTGGTATTACTAGACGTACTAGTGCGTGTACTAGAACTGCTTGATGTTCTACGTGTGGTAGTAGTTGTAGTGTTCTGGTTTCGGGTGGCTTGCGGTCGAACGGCACGCAGATTAGTAATGCTGTCGTTCGTTGCCACTCTAGCAAGCACTGCGTCGCTGTCGTCATCATCACGTTGATCGTGGAGATCAGAGAAGGTAACTTGGGGAGAGACCGTCTGACGTGGCGATTTAGGAACGTCATCAGGAAAGGTAAGTTGCGGAGAGACGATCCGGCGTGGCGATTTAGGAACCGGGGAGCTGAAGACGTTGAACGACGTGGACTTGCGTGGACTCTTAGACGGTGCTACGCAACGCGGCGATGGAAGAGCAGGTTCGTAAATCTGAATCGTAATTTCCTTCCGCGATTCCTGGCTGGACTGATCGCGAGAGATTAACGCTGAATTTCCTCGCTGGTTAGCAGCTGACTCGGACATTGCGTAAAGAACGAACGCGATTTGCGAGTCTATTGTTCAAGAGCTGCGGTTTCGAATCTATGACCAAATTTGCTGGACTGCGAGAAGCTCTGGAGGAAAAAAAAAACAGAGTAGTCAGCCACGAGAAATCGGGAAAGAACTTCCCCTGCTATGAATGAACTATCCTGCTATACTGACATAATGTGCGTGAGTCAAAGAACGAGCATTGCTGAAGACTCTCGATTTCTGTCAGGGAGACTGAAATGCACGTGAGTACTGCTGAGCTAGCTCTTCGCATCCGCCAATAGTCAAATGAGACGTATGTTCCGTGAACACCTCCATCCCTAGAGATGACACCATTCCCGAGGCATTGTGGTCCCCGCCCTTGTGTAGGGGACATTCCCGAGGTCTGGATGGACTGTACATATCTCCCACGATGGAACAGGCATTCTCAAGGTGGCATGAATCGTGTATGGAGGATTCTGGAACGGTGGAAAGGGCGTGAATGCGTTTTTGAAGGGTGTCGAGATGAGGATCTTGTTGGGATTGTGGCCCTGTGGGAACCAGCAGAGCAACCAGGTGCGCAACAAATTTATTGGTCGATCGGGTTTTCCAAAACCAGTGGGGAGTGAACACAACAGAGAAAGTCCCTCTCTGGTCTCGCGTCACGCGTCTTTGCTGCGGCGTCCGCCCTTTACACAGACTTCGTGGCAACTTGCAAGCCTGGAAGGCAGTTGTCGAATCTGGCTGGCAATGAGCGCATAAATTAGAAGTTGGTGTGGAATTTGTACTGAACAAAAGGTTGTGCTCACAGAGGTATTAGGTACTTCACATATTTACAATCATCCCCATGGAAGTCTCACATCACATCACTTCACTTCTCAAGCATCATAGGATAGAAAGCCCTTATCATTCCAGCTCAGAATTCGTATACCGCACCAGGCCATCTCAAACGCCCAGCGCATCCTGCTTCAATGCACCATGTGCCCAGCTCACATCGGTATCAACCGCGTACGACCATTCCGGAACCAGACCAGTTTTGAGCCGGCCAAAACACTAGCCTCCCAGCCACCCTCAGCTAGTATGCACCATGTGCTCAGCTCTCAACATATCGGTATCAATCGCTTTCGACCACTCCGGAAGCTCCCGAAACTCCAGAAAATGCGCAATAACCCCTAAAATCCGGGAATCTCTGAAGTACGCCCCATGATTCAGGTCAAACTTACCCGTGAGCTCCTTAAACCGGTCCTCAATCATCACACAGAGCTCTTTAATCTGTCGAACGAACTCATCCGGGGTAAGCCTCGGGTTACGCCACATCTTCTTGATTTCCGGCTTGAGGCACTGGTAAGTAAGACACTTAGCAGCTGCTTCATCCAGCTCCTTGTCATCCCATAAATACTCGTACAGTAGTTGCTCCTGCCCACGTGTCTTCCCCTCCATTGCACCCTCATCCACACCCCCCACGGCATGCCCCGAATTCTCAGCTTTGCCGCATTTCTCCTCTCCCTTCAGCACATCACCATTCTTGGTCCAGCTATCCTGCTCCTCTTTCCTAGGCAGCCGCTTGGATTGGTGCTCATTCTCTCGCGTCCGAGTGTGAGGGTGACAGGGGCTAGAGGAGGAGCCTTGACTTGTGCTGAGTGGGAGGAGAGGACGGTCAGGAGTTACATCTCCGGCCGTTACATCTCCACGGGTTACATCTCCATGTGTTTCATCTCCACGGGTTTCATATCCCCGAGTATCGTCTCCGAGTGTCCTTGAGCTCTTGAATGTAACTCGCCGACGCAGCCTGCTAGTGCTGCGCTGCCATTGGCCGGCAGAGGTGCTAAAAGACGGGTCTAGAGTCGGGCGGTAGCGGCTTTCCTTGTCCTTTTCCTCCCCTGCCCCGGTGCCACCTGCTACAGCCGCTGCACCTGCTACAGCTGCTGCCCCTGCTACAACTGCTGCATCTGCAACAACTGCTGGCCCTGCTACAGCCGCTGCACCTGCTACAACTGCTGCCGCTGCTACAGCTGCTACCCCCGCTGCAACTGATGCCTGCTGTGCTGCTACTGGTGCTCCTTCCTCACTCTCCCTCACCTCGTTTCCTGCAAACCCTACCCTACCCACAGCAGCCCCACCCCCTGCAGTCCCAGCCACAGCAGTCCCTACCTTCTGCACCCCTCGCCCATTCATCCAACCTCTCCCGTCCCCTCCCCCTTCCTCTTCCCCTTCCCCCTCCCGTTCCCTTCCTAAATCCATCTCACCATTCCCTTCAACACCCTTACCCTTTCCTCTTCCCTTCCCCTTCATCTCCTCCCCTCTCCTCCCATCAACCTTGTTTCCAAACACCTCCTTCTCAGGCACCCCCTCCCCAGCTAACCCTTCCCCACGCCCCCTGTCTTTAAGTAACCCTTCCTCAAATACCGCCTCCCCCATGTCACAGGTGTCATCCTCATACCCCGCCATCAGCTCCCCCTGCAGCGAGCGCGTCTTGGCCAAAGCTAGAAGTTTCTGAAGGGTTAAGGAGGGTGACAGAGGATGGGGAATAGGGGAGGTAGGTGGCATCCTCATACCCTGCCATCAACTCCCCCTGCAGTGAGCGGGTCTTGGCCAGTGCCAGCAGTTTCTGAGAAGGTGGGGAGGGGAAAGAAAGGGGTTAGGCAAGGCAGGGAGGTGCGTGGAGGGTCAAAGAGGAGGTGCCATGGTCACACCGCACCCTCACAGACGAGGTGCCATGTTCACACCGCACCCTCACAGACGAGGTGCCATGGTCACACCGCACCCTCACAGACGAGGTGCCATGGTCACACCGCACCCTCACAGACGAGGTGCCATGGTCACACCGCACCCTCACAGACGAGGTGCCATGGTCACACCGCACCCTCACAGACGAGGTGCCATGGTCACACCGCACCCTCACAGACGAGGTGCCATGGTCACACCGCACCCTCACAGACGAGGTGCCATGGTCACACCGCACCCTCACAGACGAGGTGCCATGGTCACACCGCACCCTCACAGACGAGGTGCCATGGTCACACCGCACCCTCACAGACGAGGTGCCATGGTCACACCGCACCCTCACAGACGAGGTGCCATGGTCACACCGCACCCTCACAGACGAGGTGCCATGGTCACACCGCACCCTCACAGACGAGGTGCCATGGTCACACCGCACCCTCACAGACGAGGTGCCATGGTCACACCGCACCCTCACAGACGAGGTGCCATGGTCACACCGCACCCTCACAAACGAGGTGCCATGGTCACACCGCACCCTCACAGACGAGGTGCCATGGTCACACCGCACCCTCACAGACGAGGTGCCATGGTCACACCGCACCCTCACAGACGAGGTGCCATGGTCACACCGCACCCTCACAGACGAGGTGCCATGGTCACACCGCACCCTCACAGACGAGGTGCCATGGTCACACCGCACCCTCACAGACGAGGTGCCATGGTCACACCGCACCCTCACAGACGAGGTGCCATGGTCTGTTAGAATCTTAGAATAGAACGAGAATGGATGAACTAGCAGGAAGTTGGGTACAAGTAGGAAACCCTAAGTTTGTGTACCCTCTAAGGCTAAACCCACTATAGCCTACACAATATAAACATACAATGTTTGACACACCCCCATAGGCGAAGTGGGAGACAACCAGAGGGTCACAAGACCAGTCAAAGCAAAGCAAGGCAAAACAAGCTCAGGGTGGATCTCAAGGGATACCACACAAATTCTGAGCACAAGCAAGTGGTCACAAGACCAGTTCACATGCAGTTTGATAATATAGCAAGAGATACAGTGATCACAACCTAGCAAGTGAAAGCATGCAGGTATATATATAGGGATCACAGTACAAGCAAAGTCAAGAAGTAAGCAAGTGAGGTCCAGTAGGCACAAGGCCTAGAAGAGTACAGAAGCGCTGATGGTCACAAGGCTGAAGCGCCTTGGTGAACACGTCAGCAGTGTTGGCCTGAGTGGCCACGTAACGCAGACGAAGCTGACCACGCTGCTGCAGCTCTCGAGCCAGAAAGTACCGCAGAGCGATGTGCTTCGTCCTGTGCTCCAGTCTGTGCTCCTCACACAAGGCAATGGCAGCCTTGTTGTCGACGTACAGCACTGGAGGAGAACGAGGCCGCTCTCCCAAGTCGGTCAGCAGGTAGGTGAGCCAGCGTAGCTCCTGGGCTGCCATGGCTGTGGCGTAGATCTCAGCCTCACAACTGGAGCTGAGAACTGAAGAAGAACGTGTAGAACGCCAAGAAACTGAACCAGAGCCAAGGCTGAAAGTGTAACCCTGTGACGACCGCTGAGTGGCCTGGTCGTCTGCCCAAGACGCGTCTGAGTGCCCAGTGAGAACAACTCGGTCTCGCCCTCCAAGCACTAGCCCCATGCCCGACGTACTGCACAAGTAGCGCAACACCCTCTTAGCGGCATCCATGTGCTCCTTCCGGTGACGGCCAGGAGCGACATAGCGTGCAAGGATGCTAAGAGGGTATGCAAGGTCAGGTCGAGTGCAGGTCATCAGGTACATGAGGCAGCCCACAAGCTCTGGATATGGGCCACTCGGCTCTACGGACTCATCCGAAGGCAGAGCTGAGAGCGAGTGACCGGTAGGCAGAGGAGTGGACTGAGGCGAGGAGTACGTGAAGCCGAAGCGCTGAAGGACCTGCTGCACCATGTGTGACTGAGTCAAGGTAATGGTGCGCCGTGCTCTGTCCCGGGTGATCCGCAAGCCAAGATAGCTTGTCAGTTCACCCAGGTCTGTGCACGTGTGTCTCTTCTGCAGCTCCGACTTCACGTGGGCGAGAGCCTCAGTGTCAGCAGTGGCAAAGACCAAGTCGTCGACGTACACGAGGATGTAGAACGGCGGCAGCGAAGTGTCTGTGCGCAGAAACAGCGACGGGTCAGCAGTAGAAGGCGCGAACCCAAGTGCCGCAAGTGTCGTCCTCAGTGTGTCGTGCCACTCACGTGGTGCCTGGCGGAGACCGTAGACCGGCCGCCGGAGGCTCCACTAGGTACCAGGAGGAAACGACCCAGTGAAGCCAGGAGGGCGGCGCAGCCAGATCTCCTCGTGCAGGCTACCCTGCAAGAAAGCAGTGTTGAAGTCAAGAGAGTGAAGCTCGTAGTCGCGCTGAGCGGCTATGTGCAGCAGCACCCGAAGAGTGGTCATCTTCGGGGTGGGGGAGAAGGTCTGGAAGAAGTCGACTCCCTCACGCTGACTGAAGCCTCGAGCCACATAACGCGCCTTGAAGACAGGCGGAGAACCCGGCGGCCGCTTCACCCTGAAAATCCACATGCCACTGACGATGTTCGCCCCTGGTGGGGGAACTGCGTCGACGTAGGTGCCTGTGGACTTCCAGGAAGCCATCTCTGCGTCCATGGCTGTCTGCCACTGAGAGGAGTAGGGACCCGCTATCGCCTCTGCGTAAGAGCGCGGGGTCGGGATGTCTGGTGCATCCGGGTCTCCCTCAGGGGCAACTAGCATGGACACGAGATGAGGCAAAGCAGCAGCAAAGCACTGGAACTCCTCCTGCCTGTCCTCAAGGACGTCCGTGCCAAGAGCACACTCACCCCCGACGGACGGAGGACGGACAGACTCAGACGCAGCAACTAGGCTAGCGGCGTAGTCGAGACGACAAGCGGCAGCAAAGTCAACTAACTCAGCGACAAGAGCAGACGCAGTAGAGGACTCAAAGGTAGGGTCAGTGACAACAGTAGCGAGGAGACGCGTGACAGTAGGACGAGCAGCACGAAGGGAGTCAGACTCCGGGTCAGGAAGGGTAGGAAGAGAGGACGCAGGAGGAGACGGCAGAGGGACGCGCTGAGGAGCAGTGGAGGGACGCAGAGTCATGTAGTGAGTGCCAGGGACAGGAGGAGGACGCTCACGCGGGACACGACGACCAGTGCGAGCAGCACGAACAGGTGACGCAGAGCGAGACGCAGGCGACACAGGACGAGACTCAGGCTCACGACGCTCCGTAAGACCTCCTGTGGGACCAGTGTAAGGAGAAGGACCAGGGAGCGGCAAGGCAGGCGGTAACGGGGACTGCGACTGGACAGGCGGAGGACACTCTAAGGAGGGAGCAGGACAAGGAGGAGGAGGCTGACCAAGAACCTGCTGAAGGAGCGGAACGAAGTACGGCCGGGGCCGTGTCCTCAGCACCAGCAGCAGCTCCAACGTCAGGGTCCGCAGCACCAGCAGCAGCTCCAACTCCAGGGTCCGCAGCACCAGCAGCAGCTCCAACGCCAGGGTCCGCAGCACCAGCAGCAGCTCCAACTCCAGGGTCCGCAGCACCAGCAGCAGCTCCAACGTCAGGGTCCGCAGCACCAGCAGCAGCTCCAACTCCAGGGTCCGCAGCACCAGCAGCAGCTCCAACGCCAGGGTCCAGAGCACCAGCAGCAGCTCCAACGCCAGGGTCCGCAGCACCAGCAGCAGCTCCAACTCCAGGGTCCGCAGCACCAGCAGCAGCTCCAACGTCGGGGTCCGCAGCACCAGCAGCAGCTCCAACTCCAGCACCAGGGTCCGCGACACCAGGCGCGCCACTCCGGAGAGTGCAGCGCCGCTCGTACCACTCACGGATCCGCTCAAGAGAGGGCAGCTCCCGCTGAGGAGGGGAGGCACCAGCACCAGTCCCAGTAGTACTCCTGGCTCCAGAGGCACCTCTCCTGAGGCTGCAGTACTCTGAGTACCACTCACGCAGCTGCTCCGAGGAGAGAGCTCCTCCAGGTGTAGGACTCCCAGGCTCAGCACCCCCAGACTCAGAACCCCCCGACACCGGACTCCGCATCAGTCTCAGCACCCCCAGGCTCAGCACCCCCAGGCTCAGTACCCTCAGGCTCAGCACTCCCAGGCTCAGCACCCCCAGGCTCCGCACCCGCAGCAGGGCGGGAGTCAACAGCTACCTCAACAGGCTCAACCGGGTCTACCTGGGACACACCTGAGGGAGCGGCACCCTGAGGGGGGAGGGGGTCTACCACAGCAGCACCTGGTGCGAGGAAGAGAGGCGGGGGGGGGAGCGGGGCAGTGCGGTAGGGGAAGAGGCGGTAGTAGGGGACGGACTCGTCAAAAGTGACGTCCTGAGAGGGCAGGACCCGGCGCGAGGTGGCGTGGTAAAACTGCCAACCAGACGCGTCAGGGACAAAGCCAAGGAAGACGCAGGGAACAGCGCGGGAAGAGAGCTTGTCCGCGGACGTATCGCGGACAAAAGCTCGAGATCCCCAGACCCGGAAACGCGACGCATCGCCAACCTCCCCCGTCCACATCAGTGTGGGCGAGGTCTCCGGCATGGAGACACGGGGCCAGAGGTTGAGCTGATGCGCAGCGTACTGGACCGCAAACGGCCACAGAAAGTGGGGGGCAGCCGCATGGATCAAGGAGGTACGGGCGACCTCCATGACTAGGCCAATGCGGCGCTCCGCAACCCCATTCTGCTGTGGAGAGGCCGGAAGCGTGAACGACTGCTCAATGCCGTGCTCAGCACAGTAGGCTGCCAAGAGGTCGGAGGAGAACTCACCACCTCTGTCAGAGTGCAAGCGCAGGACAGGAAAGTCCGAGTGGAAACGCTCGCTGAGCTGGAGACGAGCTCTGCGGATCCAAGGGATCAAAACATCAGGGACCTCACCCTTGGTGCGCAAGGGGAAGACCGTGGTGTAGCGCGAGTAGTCGTCAACAACAATCAGGAAGTACCTCTCCTGACCCTGACCACGGACGCGGGCTGGGCCCCACACGTCCATGTGGAGCGTTTGCAAGGGAGCAGTCGTCGGGGGAAACGAGGAGGAGTGAGGAGCGGCGCGCTGCCGCCCCTCGACACAGGGAAGACAGGGAGGAGCAGGCGAGGGTGGGAGGGGAGGGAGAACCCTGGGAAGACCAGAGACAAGGTACCGGGAGTGCATGGCACGAAGGCGCTGCACAGACGGGTGGCCAAGTCGGTGGTGCCAGACAACAGTCTCGTGCGCGAGAGAGCGACACGAGCAGGGGGCCGACAGCTGACCGGACGCAGACGCAGACGCAGACGCAGCGACCTGAGGGGACTCAGTGGTCAGTGTGTACAGGTCCGACCCCGGCTGTCTAGTGAAGGTAGCCAAGTGACGGCCCGTACGAGCACACGTGCAGTGGGTCACGCGCTCGTAGGCAGGGGTGAACTGGTGAACACCCGCGTCCTGGAGCGCACACCCTGCCACCAGGTTCGTAGAGAACGAGGGGAGGTGGAGACCGGACAGTGTGCCCGACGGGACCGCAGGACAGGGAAGGACAGTGGAGGAGGTCGCAACGACCGGGCCCCCAGAGGGGTCAGCGAGGGAGACAGCAACTGGCCGAGCAAGTGGCTCAAGGACAGTGCGGTCACGAAAGAAACAGCGAGAAGCACCGGAGTCCAGTGTGAAGGTGTGCAGTGCCTCAGTCGACTCAGTACCAGGGAGCGGAGACTCACTAGCACCTAGAGCAGCAGCCTCACCAGCACCTGGGGTAGCAGCCGCACTAGCACCTAGAGCGGCAGCCTCACTCACAGGACACGG